TTCATTTTTCAGTAGATTTCATTTTCTGTCATGTGATGTCAGGAGGATCTGAGCACAGGTGTTGTCTGTGATGTATACTACTTGACAAACTCGGAGTAAATGATTTTCTCTCTTAGTGCTTCAGATAAACTGTAAGAGTCAACTATAGCAGAGTTCAAGATCTGTGTGGGTAGCAGTTTGTTCAGAAGGAGCAAACTCTTCTACTAACATCTCTGCATAAGATGAATTCAAACATCTGAACAAAAAAAACCGCAGTATATTGGGAGAAAACTATTTCCTCATATATCCATAATTGTCTTTTAAAAAAAAAACATCAGACCATATTCTACATTCTAAGAGAAAGAAGAACCAGTGTAATCCCTTTTGCACATTAAACCTCTTCAAATTCCTGAAGGAGGAACTCTAATACCTCCATCCTGAAGTGTCATTCTCTCAAGAGCAGGAAAAAAGGAAAGCTCATACTGAGAGAGATTTGTCTTTGCATCAGCGAAATTTGCACTAAGCTTTTGGGGACTGCAGGAGAAAGAAGTCAGTGAGGGGTGAACCTGTTCTCTGATTGGCAAGAGTCTTCCATAGTTACCTTGAGACAGACCCACCAGTCTGCTGCTCCCCATCCATCTTCATGCTATACTGCTTTCTTTTAATACGCCCACTCTCTTTTGACACCTCTAGCTTTGGGAACAGTACTCAAGTAAACATTGCCATTTCTGGAAAGTTCATTTCACTCAATAGCTCTATAGATCTACTCACCATCTTTATGCCTCTAAAATTCAAAATACTCCTACCTGCTCATCACAACCTTATAAATATTGCTTTCCATTATTAGAATAATAATTCCACTAGGCCAAAGATTACTTATTGTGTGTGTTTTTGTTTTCAAATTAGTATCTTCAGTGGATATTTATTTGAATTAGCATAGTGACACATGGCATAGAGCAAACACATTTAAAAAATCATTCATATGCATTTCCTTAATACAATAAACAACAATAACAGACAAAACCATGAGAAAAATACTACCTAACAGCAGGATTGTGAGCTAGAAATTTCTGCCTTTTGTAACCATCCCCAAGAACTTCCAAATCCACGTACTTTCTGTCCTCCTGATGCTCTGTGTCACACTTTTTTTTGCCATTTTCCTTAAGTTGACTAAGGTCTCTCCAATCCATTTGAAAATGACTTAGCAAGACACTAGCATTAATGAGTGGATAATTAAATATTCCACCAACAGCACCTATTATTACCAAAAATTTTAGAACAGAAGATTTATTGAAAGGAGTAAAACAGAATGAGGTACAATAAGAAAGAGGGGGCATGGACGAAAGGTTGCAAATATTTTTTTTAAACTTGTATTATAGTATACAGAACACAATCTTTGGAATTAGAAGGTTTAAGTTCATTTCCCAAGTATTCCATTTCCTAGCTATGTGATCTTAGAGCAGTCATCGAAACTTATTTTCACTTATTTTCATCATTTGAAAAATAACAGATTAAATTAGAAAAAAAAAGTGTAAGTTCCTTTCCCTTCCTGTTATTTTATAGTCTGTGTTCTAAGGTCTCTTCGAGACGTATATTAAAGAATATGATTGAGGGCAGAGCCAAGATGGCGGAGTGAAAGCAGTGACTTGCTTGAACTCTCCTCCAAACCCCTCAAATACTCATAAAAATGGCTCTAAACAAATTCTGAAGCAGCAGAACCCACAAAAAGACAGAGTGAAACAAATTTCCAGCCCAAGACAACCTGGATGATTGATCAGAAATGCAGCAGTAAAAAAGAACTGTGTGATGCAATCCTCAATGGAGATAGTTTTGTCTTCCACAATTAGGTTTTCTAACAGCCTAGGTGTGACTCCAGTGGAGTAACAAAAGTCCACAAAGGATAAGTGTCTAAGGAAAAAGTACATGGGGGTATGGAGTTTGGGGGTGATCCTGATGATCATATCATGCCCAGATTCCCCACCACAGTGACCACATAGATGGTCAAGAACACTAGAAAGAGGGGGACTTGGAGGTCCGGATAATCTGAGAATCCTAAAAGGATGAATATGACTGAAGCACTCTGATTCTTGTCACTGGTTCTCATGGCTCCACTTTTTTTTTTTTTTGCTAGGCAATGGGGTTGAGTGACTTGCCCAAAGTCATGCAGCTAGTAAGTGTTATGTGCCTGAGGATGGATTTGAACTCAGGTCCTCCTGAATCCAGGGCCAGTGCTCTATCCATTGCACCACCTAGCTGACCCCCTCATGGCTCCTCTTGAAAAGAATTCAAAATAGATTCTGAGAAGGATAAAAAGAAATAAATGAGTTACTAAGGGAATGTAGGGAATGAAATCTGGTATTGAGGAAAACATATTATTAACATATATTTTGGAAGTAATGGAGTGAATTTAAAATAAATATTGTAAATGATATTTTCATTTTGAGCAAAAAATCATCATAACAGGAAGAGAAGAGGAGAGAGACAGAGAGACAGAGAGAGAGACAGAGAGAGACAGAGAGAGAGAGAGAAGAGAGAGAGAGAGAGAGGGAGAGAGAGAGAGACAGAGAGAGAGAGAGACAGAGAGAGAGAGAGAGGGAGAGAGAGAGAGAGAGACAGAGAGACAGAGACAGAGAGACAGAGAGACAGAGAGAGAGACAGAGAGAGAGAGAGACAGAGAGACAGAGACAGAGAGACAGAGAGAGAGAGAGAGACAGAGAGAGAGGGGGAGAGAGAGAGAGAGAGAGAGAGAGAGAGAGAGAGAGAGAGAGAGACAGAGAGAGATAGAGACAGAGAGAGACACAGAGAGAGAGAGACACACACACACAGAGAGAGAAGTAAATTAGAGACAGAGACAGGTTCCATTCTGAATTCAGAAGTCGTCTAGTCCACCCTGCATTAGTGTATAAGGAACATTTCTCCATGATTACTGACAGGTCATTTTCTCACCATTACTTAAAACCTCAAGTAAGGAGGAAGCCACTACTTCTTGTAACAGCCTTTTTCATTTTTCAGTAGATTCTATAGTCCATTATGTGATGTCACATACGATCCCCCAAGATCATATCTGAGTTCAGGTGTTGTCTCTGATATATACTAGTTGATAAACTCTGAGTAAATCACTGTATCTCTTAGCGCTTCAGATAACACTCTAAGACTAAACTATAGCAGAGTTCAAGATCTCTGTAGGTAGGAGTTTGTTCAGAAGGAGTGAACTCTTCTACCAACATCTCTGCGTAAGATGAATTCAAAGATCTGAACAAAAAAAGCGATACGTTAGGAGAAACTATTTCCTCATATATCCATAATTGTCTTTTTTTAAGCATTGGTCCATATTCTGCGTGCTAAAAAAAGAACTAGTGTAATACCTTTTGCACATTAAACCTCTTCAAATTCCTGAAGGGGGAACTCGAATACTTCCACCCTGAAGTATCATTCTCTCAAGGGGAGGAAAAAAGGGAAGCTCACACTGAGAGAGATTTGTCTTTGCATCAGTGAAATCTGACCTTAGCTTTTGCAGACTGCAATAGAAGGAAGTCAGTGAGGAATAAGCTTGTGCTGAGATTGGCAAGAATCTCCCATAGTTAGCTTGAGGCAGACCCACCAGTCTGGTGCCCTCCATCCATCTTCACGATATACTGCTCTTTTAATTCACACACTCCCTTTTGGCACCTTTAGCTTTGGGAACAGTAATCAAATAAACTTTGCCATTTCTAGAAAGCTCATCACAATCAATTGCTCCAGAGATCTACTCACCATCTTTTTTCCTCCCAAATTTAAAATACTTCTACCTGCCCGTCACAACCATATAAATGCTGCCTTCCATTATTAGAATAATAACTCCATTAAGCCAAAGACTAAATATTGTGTGTGTGTGTGTGTGTGTGTGTGTGTGTGTGTTTCTTTCAAACTTTGTATCTTCAGTGGATATTTATTAGTATTAGCACAGTGACATATGGCAAGGAGTAAACACATTTAAAATATTCATTCATATGCGTATCTTCCTTATTTGAAAGATGATGAATTTGAAAATGAAATAAGTTAAATGGCTGACTGAACAGCCCCAAGGGAGGGATAGTGAGTGATAGATTGTGAGTGATAGAATGAAAAGAGGACTGGCTTCAAAGTCAGAGGAGTTGGCTTGAAATCCTGACTCTATCACATTATTTGTGTGTCCTGGGGAAAGTCGTTTAATACCTCTAGGTGTCCTTTTTCTAGTCTGAAAATAAGGGGGCTTGATGGACTCAAAGGTTGCTTTTGAACCTAAATCTATCATCTCATGAAAAAAACTAGCAGTGCTGAAGTTCACATCCAGAACCTCTAGACCCAAATTCTATGCTCTTTCAAATATATGATCTTCTACTGTCCTTCATCTACCAAATGAACAGATCTGATTTACATGAAATTAAAAATCAAATTCCATTAACTATTCTTTATGAATTCCTCAGACTTTACCTTGACTTTTCTTATCTCTTTATTTTTATTTTTCCAAAATGAAGGTATTTAACAGGGGATACATTTGAGTTCACTTATAGCTGTAGATTTCTGGTGCTATGATCCTTGGGACACTAAGGCTTTACAGGCTAAATCTATGATTTTTATCATCCCATGGATTGTAACCTCCCAATTACATCTCTACAGAAAACATGGTTTCATCCAAAACTGACCTTTAATACTTTCTGTCATCAACAAAAGGTACTTTCCTGTCTTCATGAATTTGCTCTCTCCATGTTCCTTGCCTTAACATCTTAATTTTTTTCTCTTTTTCTGTATTAACCCTTTTCAAGCATAGCTCAGATCCCTCCTATTTGCAAAGCCTTTAAGTATAGCTCCCTATCAATTTATTCCTCTCTCCTCTCAATATCTGATGCCTGTTTTCTGTGTGTGATACTCAGTGGGTCACTTGTGTATGCTCTTGGTATCCAAAGTAAAATTGATATTTAAATTTTCAAGTCCCATCTGCCTATTAGATTGTAAGATCCCCAAAGATCATATATTCTGATCATGCCTTTTTTTCTCCCTAGGTAATAAAAAATGACCAATAAATGGAAGAAGGAGAAGGATGATGAAGAAGGTGAAAATAATTAGGTAGGCATATAATAAGAAGAAAGAGGAGAAGGAAATTGCCTTGGCAGTTTTGTCGTCTGCTTGCTTTCTGTCTTAAACTACAGATGGAAGGAGGTGGGGTGGGGTCAGGGTGAGCCAAAGGCATGTCTTTCCCTTCTGGTCTGGGGCACTGACATGGGAAAGGAGTCCAATTCAAAGTATTTGCTCAACAGAAAGTTGATTACTTGACTTGATAATCCCTAAATATGTTATGTGATTAATGAGCCTGATGCCAAATTGGAAGATGACATGGTATATTGAGAAGAAAACTGGGAGCCAGAAGACATGAGTTGGCATTCCAAAACAACCACTTATTAGTAATATGGCTTAAGAATTTTTTCTCCTTTCATTCATTAAACGAGGAGCCTGGACATTATAATAGCAAAAGTCCCTTTCAGCTATAATTCATGCTATAATTCCAAGATTCTACCTCTATTGTTCTAAGCTTTTTGTTTTTTGAGTACTAGGTTGACTTGCAAGAGGAGCACAGAGGACACTAATATAGATCATTAAATACTTTTCTCTGACCTGGTGAGGCAATCATTTCAGGATAATTCATAAGTGAACAGAAGCAAGAGAAAGTTTATGTTATTGTGTCAGGAAGTTTAGTCTGAGGAGAATGCTATAGATCATATATGTGGCCTCAGGACCTCTGGGACCTAACATCTAGAGAATCTCCACTGACCTCTTCTCTGGGAACAAAACAGCACATCATTACACAGAACTCTGAATCTCCAGTGTCTCTTTTACAGTATTTTTTTTAATCACCTTGTTATGAAAGTGAAGTTGACAGATAAGTGAAACTTTACTTAAAAGGAAACATTGATTTTTACTAATGTCTCTGTATAAAACACCCACACATGGAGTATATATGCATTTAGATTTTCAGCATTTTAGATGGAAAGGTTCATTATATTATATTATTATATTCATTATATGTAGTATGCATTTCATAAAAGCTTACTTATTTAATATAAAAGGAAGGGAGGAGTTCATATTGTATTATTTAACAAATGTGGTACCAATATTTCTCTGAAGACTAGTTTAGAATATGCATTGTGCATATATGTGTGTGTATATGTGTGTGTGTGTACATACACATATACACATACTAATACACACATATATATTATCCAGTGTTCCTTTGTTGTTATTGTTGAGTCATGCCAGTCATGTCTTAATCCTCGTGACCCAGTTTTGGGGTTTTCTTGGCAATGATACAGGGATCGTTTAGCATTTCCTTCTCCAGCCCATTTTACAGATGAAGAACTGAAGTAAACAGGCTTAAGTGACTTGTACAGGTTCACACAGCTAGTGTCTGAGGCCAGTTTGCAACTCAGGAAAGTGAGACTTCAGATCCAGCATTCTACCCACTGTGTCACCTAGTTGCCTCTGATGAGAATCACTGGGAGTAGTAAGGACTGATGACTGGAGTGATTTGGCTTTTGTCACTCAGTTATGTCAGACTCTATATGACTGCATAGTACATGGGGTTTTCTTGGCAAAGATATTGGAGCAGTTCATCATTTCCTTCTCTAGTGCATCCCCATTTTACAGATGAGGGACTGAGAAAAAGTCATTAAGTTATTTGACCAGGGTCACACAGCTAGTAGGTATCTGAAGCTGGATTTGAATTCAGATTTTCCTAATTCTAGGACTAGTGATCTCTCCACTCTGCTACCAAGCTGCCCCTCTTTGCATGTTAATGATGTATGATTACCATTAGAAAAATCAATTCTTTTATTACAAGCAGTTTATACTCAGTACCTCCTCACAACCATGTTTTTTGTAATAAAAATTCAGTAGAACATATTAATGTACACAGATACATGTGGAGAGACAGGCAGACTCCTTTTAGAAAGGCAAAAGAGGGAGAGAGAGACAGACAGACAGGCAGAGACAGAGAGGAGAGAAAGAGACAGACAGATAGAGAGAGAGAAAAATCAAATTAAAGAGGGTAGAAACCTAGTTCCATTGAGAGTTAAGGTAGTCATGAGTTGGGTGTGTGGATTAGGAAATGGGTCAGCGTAGATGGTATGGTACTTAGCATTTCAATTTGGATTTCTTTTGGTATGGAAGGCTATGAGAAGAGCATTCTCCAATTCCATAAGTGTCCAGGAACAACAGTAGTGAGAGAGTGTGCTGCCTCAAAACTGAACATTCCAAACAGGCAAATACAAATGAATGGCTTATTCCAATCTCACTTTTCATCCAAGAATAACACTGTTCAATTTTCTAGTCCAGTCTCTGTGAGTTCAAAATATTTCTACGTGTTACTTCTATCCCCTCTAAATATTTCCCCCTCTTCCTTCATTAAGTGTACAAATTTCAGCTTGTACCATTTATGCTTCTTTTCTCACTGGAACCCAAGTGTATACCTGAGAATATTTCTCCTTAATTTTTGTAGTAATGCTGTGGCCAATATGTGGCATGTCATAAATTCTAATGAGCTGCTATTTGCTTATTTTTCAAACATTTGTGTGATCTTCTGACCTTCTATAAGGGACAACAAATGCCTTTCCTAAGTATCACAACCTAGCTGTCCTTGTGCTCCTTCAAATGGCTGCACCAAATTCTCACATATATGATCAGTTAATACATTGGTATGGAAGAAAGATTCCTCTTTGCAGTGTTAGAGCTGTTTATAACATACAATTAGAGAGTTATCTGAGACTTTCAGTCTTTTTTCAGTCACGTCTGACTATTCATGACCATTGAGGTTTCTTGACTGAGATACTGGAGTGGTTTACCATTTCATTCTCCAGCTCATTTTACAGATTAGGGACTAAGCAACAGAATTAAATGACTTGCCCAGGGTCACACAGCTAATACTTGTCTAAGGCCACACTTGATATCAGACCTTCCCAAGTCTAGTCCAGTGGTCTATCAGCTACACCATCTAGTTGTCCCTTGTTATTCAGTCATTTATTTTTCTTCCATCTTACTGCCTGAGGCACAAGGTGGTTAAACGACTTATCCAAAGTCATTGAATTCAAATGTTCCCTATTAAAATCTTCAGAGGCAGAGCTAGGACAAAGATCACCCTGAGACATTATTTCCACTGTACTACAGTATCCTTCCTGTATATATGATACATGTGCAGGATAGTTAAGAAATAACCAACGAAAATAAAAGGTGGATGGCTGAAAGCTAGACCCCATAAAAAAAAAATCTTTCTATGTATCTATCTACTTAGCTATCTAGATTTTCAGCTACTTTTTCAATCTCACCCATTTCTTTTCTGCATTTCTGGTGTCTTCAATGGATTTGTATGCTCAGTGATTGCAGCACATACCTAGAGGTTTATGATTTATTATCATAGATTTAGGACTTGAAGACTTATCAGCTGCCTAGTTCAGTCACTCATTTTATAGAGGACGAGACTAATGCATGAAGGGGTTAAATGATTTGTCCAAAGTCATACAGACATTACACAGTAGAGTTGTGATTCTGACATGGTTCCTCTGTGTACCCATCTGATCCTCTTTCCACTTATCTCTTCTCATCTTCAAAACAATCAATTGCAGAATGGAAATTAATTCTGTTTGAATTATTGTCAAAATCATATAGACTATTAAGAGTCCTCAGCCTGTATTCGAGTTCTTCCATAAACTTACTCTCACGAACACTGATTTTCCTTCCCAAATGTATCTCTACAGCTAGCACTAGTTGCATCCAATGTGTATATTCTACATGTCATCAACACAATGTGTATTCTTGGTTCCACACCTTTGCTTTTGCCACAGTCCTTACCTTAGCAACCTCTTTCTGTTTTTCTAATTGTAGACGTATTGAATTGACTGAAGTAGTGAGCAAGCATCTCAATTTTTAAACCATTCATTGACCATTCTCTGTCCATTGAACATCTCTGTCTGTCTCTCCTCTCAAAGTTGTAAGACAATTTTAGTACTACTGTGGAGCTTGTGTGCAGATGTCCACCTCCCTGACATGGAGTAAAATGAGCCCCTTCATGCCAGGAAATGTGTATGTGTGTGTGTGTGTGTGTGTGTGTGTGTGTGTGTGTATATATGTGTGTGTGTGTGTGTGTATGTATATATATATACACACAAATACACACACATATATATATACATATATACATATATACATACACATACATACATACATACACACACATATATATACACACAAATATATATACATATATATATTTTTTACAGATTTCATCTTTCTATGTGTTGAACAAGATACATATAATTGGTGGAAATAAACATAAAGAAGAAGTAGAAAGAAAAATGTTCTTGGATCGTGCAGGTCACCTTAGCAGCTTAGTCAATTTGTTCCTTTTATAAGCTTAAATTGTTCAGAAGATCTGCCTGACATCAATCCCAATCTCATTTTTTTTGTAACTTCCACCCCACTACTTCTGATTTTATACTACTCTATTCAAGAAAGCCGCGATTCTCCCGTTCACATCCACATCTCATTTCAGCATTGATGGTAGCCCTCTTACTTACCCACTCTGCTGGCATTACAACCGTTTAAGGCATTAATGTATCTCAATCAATTAAACCATTGCTTATTGTCAAACATTTAAGTTGATTGAAACCTTGTGTTTAGGTTTTATAATCGCAGGCAAGTCTGAAAATCTTTGAGAGAGAGAGCTCTAAAAATATTTATTTTCAGAGTATAATCTAATGATAATTTAGGGTCAAAGAACATGATTACCGTGTTTTTTTATTAAATAATAGATTTCTGTGCTTGATCTGGATCTTTGATTCCACAAGTATAAGGAGCTTTAGTCATGTAAACCGCCTCCATTGATGCAGCTGCAGATATCTTTTGCAACCTATGGCTTCAAATAATTTCTTTAGGAGTAGAGAGTTTAACTCACTTTTTTTCTTTGCCCATTTTTTTTCTTGGTGAAGATATTTCACAGGCAGAACATGAACCAAGTTGTCCTTATTCCTAATCCAGCATTACATACACCATACTATGATTCCTGCATACCACGCTTTATG